TGATGTCACGTCTTTCATGAGAATTATACTTGTGACCGTGAGGTTCAATTCAACAACCATTTCTTTGCCACCTCCTACTAAATACCAGGCATTGTTGCAGAAATTAGTAAATTCAGTCATTAAGTTCATAGTTAAATGCAGTTTGAATTCCAGCTAATGTTAATGAGTCAATATTTAACTGGAAGAGGGAAAGATGCTGACCAGAGCCTCTGCAGCTGTTTTTTACAGGGATGAAGAAGGTATGGTCAGTTTCCACTAAGATGGAAGAAAAAAAATCTCATGAGTTTCTCCTCAGTTTAAAGATGGGGAACAGGCTGAGTTGGATAGCTGTGTGCTGTGTGTGCAGAGGGGAGTGCTTTCCACCTGCGTGTTTCTACCTCCCAGAACACACTGTCTTTCCCAGGGAGGCTCAGAGTCTATACACTGAGACCTTATCAAGGCCACATCAAGACGGCATCTTAACCAAGCGAGTGTCAAGGAGGCAGGAGCAGAGGATGTCAAGGGAACCTTCATTTCCATGCAGCCCTCCTGAGTAGTGACTAGACATTGTTTTGAAAAACAGACTTGTACACAGGGGATGGAGAAATCCAAGTTTTACATTTCCTGACCTGTGAGGGTTTAAGATACAATCTGAATATTAAACTAATGTGCCATATATCTTGAGGATGCCAGCAATACAGCAATACCAGATCATACTCATCGGGGTGTGTGTGTGTGTGTGCGTGTGTGTGTGTGTGTGTGTGTGTGTGTGTGATCTCCATCTGTGTGACTCCATTTCTAGGCATGGCTATAAATACTGTTGCTAGGAAGCAAGGTGATCAGGCCTTGTGCTGGCTTGGGGGTCCCATCAGATCTAACCTGGACCTCCTCCAGGTAATAGATGTAGGACCTTTCAGACATTTGTAGAAAGGAGGAAATTCTTTCTACATCTCTAAAGGGTCTCTAGAACCTCCATCACCCCAGGTTGTAAATCTGACGGATCTGTCAGATGTAAGGCAGGCCATCGGTGCCTGAGAGTGGCCTGAGAGCAGAGGCTGCCAGCACCCAGCTGGGAGCAGAAGATGTGCCACAGGCAGATGTGGGCATGGTCTCAAAGTCTGGGACGGACACTCCTCCACAGTTGGGATTTCACCATTTCCCTCCCATTGTTCCTTCAAATAAGGAATTACTTTCCCCATTTTGCAATGCAGGAAATGAGGACCAGACCTAGCAGCCACACCCAAGTGTTTTGGACTCAGTCAGTGCTCAGAGCTCCAGGGGAACTACTAAAATGGGTGATGGCGCCATGGAGAGCTGTGCTGTGCGCCATCCGTGCAGTCTCCGGAGCACCCGGCTGGGAAGGAAACCACAGACCCCTCGTGTGAACATGGAGTAACAATCAGGATGGAATACTTCCAACTCATATCTCATTTTCCTCACTCCTCGTCTAGTCCAAGCCAAACCCCCATTTCCCTTCCACAGATGTTGGATTTTCAACCTCCCTCATCTTCAGAGCATTCTGTGAAATAAGATGGAACAGATTAGGATCTTGTTAGTGGAGCAGCACTTGGTGGGTGGTTGGGGGGTCCGTTTTTTTCACAGACAGTGAGGACAAAACAAAGACACAAATCTGGAAGTCTAGGAGTCCATATTCCAGACATGTGGTCTGATGCGACAACTGCTAGTCACATGTGATATGTTAAGTGCAACTGAAGGACTAAAATTTTTTTTATTTCAATTAGGTTTAATTAATATAAACTTCCTTAACATTGAGTCAGTACTGGAAAGCATAAGTATGTATGCAGCAACTTAGGTTTGTAAATCTACTTTTCTTTTCATTTCTTTTCTTTATTTCCCCCATTGATCCCTTAAGCCAGCCCCCGAATCTCACCCCACCCAGGTTGTCTGTGTCCATGGGTTATGCATATATGCATACAATGTCTTTGGTTGTAAATCTATTTTTTCAACCATGAATGTTATCAAATCTAAATACAGATCAGGTGTTTCAATGAAAAGTTAGTGTTTGAACTCATATGTGCTGGGAGTGTAAAATGCACACCAGCAGAGTTGGAAAATTTGATAAGAAGAAATATAAAATATCTCATTGATAATTTTTAAATTGATGCACTTTGAAATAATACTTTAGATATATTGTGTTAAATAAAATGCATCATTAAAATTAATTTCACCTGTTACTTTTTTTTATAATTTTAAACATGGCTACTGCGAAATTTTTAATTGCAAACCATATTTCTGTTGGCTCACTATTCTAGATGTTTAATGTTAGTAGGGATAGTGCTGGAGACAGGACATCCTGGTCCGCAGGTTCATTTCTTACTTGCCCTCTCATACTGCATAAGGTCCTTCCAGAACATTTCCAACCCTCTCTTTCCTAATTCCTGCTTTAACATTACTCACTTCAGTGAACATCACTCCCCCTCAGCCTTCCCCACCTCAGCCTTCTCCTCCCTCCAAAGGCCTGCTGTGGTGGTGCTTCTCCTTCTTCCGAGTCCCGCACACAAGGGGAGGCAGACAGTTTCCTGGTGGAGGAGCTGGGGATTGAGAAAAAGGAAAGAGACAAGAGACAGACATAGGTTCAAGCTGGGTGCGGAGTGGAGGCCGCCACTCTGATGAAGGGACAGCCACACCCACAACAGACAACACTGATTTCCAGAGGGGCGTTTAAGATCAAAAGGAGTTTCGGGTGTGCTCTATTCATCGAGACCTGGATAAGTTCCTCATTTTTTGGTACAAGGACCAGATTTAGCATATCAAGACCTGGGTAAGTCAAAGTCCTATTTGTTCCTCATTCCAAGCACAAGGATAAAGATAAGAAATCAGTACTGATAACAGTCTCAGACATTTTGGGAGGCTGTTTCCGGGAGACGGCCACGCCAGTCACCTCGGACGCAGCTGACATTAACTTAAAGGTCATCCACGTGCATTTCCAAGGGGCCCTCTACGGCCCGCTCCACCCTTCTCTCTTCTACTGTCTTCTGCAAACCTACGGGTCTTCCTTTCACAGGACTATTGCAATCATAGTCTACTGTGGATAACTCTCCTCCCCCGCCCCATTTCTGCCTTTCCCTTTAACACCACCTCGCTTTTTCTGACAAACTCTGTCTCTTAAAACTGCTTATTGAGAGGCCCAGGTCTGCATTGGGGGTCTACTTCATTAAAGGTCCTGTAGGAAGGTCAGAGGGCAAGGCCATGTTCTGTGCTTGCGCGGGCCACCCTCCCACCATGTTGCTTCGTCTGGTCTCCTTAATGCACGTGTGGCTGTTCATGCCGTCTTACCACCATCTACCTATTCTTTTCTTTTTTCTTTATGTTCTTTTAAAAAATAGTTTTAATTATAGCCCATATACAATATTACATTAGTTCTAGGTGTACAACATAGGGATTCCATATTTATATGCCTTACAAAGCGATCACCACAATAAGTCTAGTAACCATCCCACCTTTTCTTTTTTTCACTCCCCCTTTCTCAGTGACCATTTATCTCAGGTTGGATTTCTGGAAAACAGACGCTGCATGGAAATGCAGTTGGAGATCGGCATGCAAGAGGTCTATTGGGAGCTGCTTGGGGACACACCGGTAAGACAGTGAGGAAATGGGCCTGGGCAGAGAGTGAACCTGAACTGAGATGCCATTTCCACAGAAGCCTCAGCTAATTCCTTGGGAAGCTCTGGAACTGGGAAAATAGCCCTTCAGGAGCCTCTGAAGGGAAGCAAAAGGATGTGCCTTTGGATCCCTGCATGTCCAGATGTCCCCAAGGAGGGGCAATCGGTTCATACTCCCCACCACCAAAATAATTCTCTCAGAAGTCCCAAGGACCCTCCTCTTTGGTATCCCTGCAGTGTGGGTCCCTATTGAACACACCCTCTTCTCCACCCTCTTCTCGGGAGCGCTGGTGCCCTGCATAGCCCTGAAACCTGGATGGACTCAGTTCCTTTCATTGGCTGCTTTGCCTGCTTAGACCACGGCTCTGTCCTCAACCCAGTCCTCTCTCCCTGTCTACACTCTCCCCCATCTCATCTTCCCTCAGCTTCACATCTCCTGGTCCTCCTCCGACTCCCACCCCCCACACCACCACCACCCTCCCTTCTACAGCCTTCTGCTGCCCCTTCCATAGTCACCCCCTCCCCATTGCAGGTCTTCCTCTCACAGGGATGCTTGCAATGGTCTCCTTTCAAGACCCCCAATTCACATCCCCTCTGCTAATCCTTTCTCATTCACCTGGGTGTTGAGAAGGCTGGTGCTTCCCTGCCTTCCCTGTCAGCTCTCCCTGCCTCCCCAGCTTCTCTGCCCCAGCAACCGGGTAAATGGGTAACCTTGCTCACTGCGGTCAAGTTTCAAAAGAACATGGTTGGAAAAGCACAGGCCTTTGTTGCTCTGGGAAATAACACATGCCTGCCGGCTGTTCAGTCAGAGCCCGGCACAGGCAGCTTTGCTCCTGCCCTGTGCCAGGGCACAGGCAGATGGGCTCTCTGCCTGGTCTTCCTTGTCCTGGTCTAGGAAGAGATCTGGGTTCTCCCTGCCTGGGGATGTAAGGCAGGTCAACGGGACTCTCCTAGGGACAGGGCAGTGATGGTAGTCTTCGCTGCGCTGGCTGTGGGGGAAGAAGGGGGCGATGGAAGGCTCTCTGTGATCACACATGCTAGTTAGTCCCTGGAGTCTGGAGCCCTCGGCGGCCAGCTTCTCCCAGGACCCTGCTCATTTCCAGCTCCACCAGAGCAGACCTAGGGGGCAGCAAGGCCTGAGAGAAGTCTGGGTCGGGGAGGGGGCTAAGGGCAGATGGGCGATCTGGAAGCCGACAGACCCTAGTCCATCCCGACACCTCCTAACAAGAGTCCCCCAGGCAACCGCACAGCTGCCCCTCACTCCGACTGCATTCGCTCTGTGTGCTGTGAATTGAAGAAAGGCCAAGTCCCAAACAAAGACGCTGGCGCCCAGGGCTTCTGGGGAGCCCGGCCCGCGGCGGCTGGGAACAGAGGGGGCGCGGGGCGCGGGGCGGGGCGGGCAGAGGCGCGGGCGGGCGGCCGGAAGGGCCAAGGGCTCCGGAGCGCACCGCCTTCGCCCAGACCCTCTCCGGGGGGAGGTCAGGAGCGCAGCGCAGCGCAGCTGGCGGGCGGGCAGGGGGCGGCCCTCCAGCCTCCGCTCCACCTCCAGACTCCACTCCCTTGGCTGCGACCGAGCCCTGTGCCCCGCGGCCGGTAAGTGCAATGCACCGGGCTCCGGAGGCCCGCGGGTCTGGGGCGCAGGGGGAAGAGGGCGTCCCCGCGGGGAGGAAGCGCCCCACTTTCCCTTGATTGTCGTCCCCCCCCACCCCACCCCGCTCTCCTCCCAACCCCCAGAGCTGGACCTCAGAGGGCCTCAGCGGGCAGGGGCAAGCTGACTTCTGGTTAGGAGTGAGACAGGAATCCCGGGGACATTCAGGGTGGATGTGTGTAAGCACTGGTGTCTGTACAGGGTCCCCAGCTTCTGTGCTGGGAACTGTGCTCCTGATTTCCTCACACAGGTCTGGGAGAGCTCTGGGCCTGTCAGTGCCCAGTGCTGCACAGCTTGTTCAGTGCAAGGCTGCTCCTCTTCAAATTGCCATTCTCTTTGTCCACCCTGAATTCCCTTCGCTGGTTCTTAAGAGTGAGGTGACAGGTCCAGCGTAATCCTACCTAAAATTTTGCAGTCCGTGACTCTGCTCCCCGTGCAGAGCAGGGTTTGCGAAATGCCAGCAGCTGGTGGGCCTCCTGTGTGCCCAGGGCTGTCCTCAGCACCTGCCTGCGGTGCAGGGCTGTGCACAGTCCCATGGGCACAGCGGCGTCCTGGTGAACATGGTGCAGCAGACCCTGTCACTGTGCTTGTAGTTGGTTAGTTCGGTATGGAAAGATGGAAGGTGTGGAAGGTGCTAGAGTGTATTTTTCACCAATGATATGTGCAGTGTTCACATGCATAAACAGGCCAGGAAATATAAAAGGGAGGCGTGCTCAGTGGTTGGACAGGAGAACATCTCAACTGGGTCAGAGTGGCCGTGTGCAGGAGTGGGTGCCCCAGAGGCCTCCAGCAGGTTGGCACGCGTGGTGAGGCAGGCGTGGCTGGAGAGGAGCGGCAGCTTCTGGAAAAACTTCTTTGTGTACTCTAGGGCAGAGGGTAAAGAGAAGGAAGGTGGTGTTGGGCCAGAGCGGATGGTCTGTGTTTAACTTGTGGGCAGCTGGATTCCAGGGAAAAGAATCTGCAGGTGGAGTCCGGAGACCCGGGTCTGAATCAAAAGTTAGCTGCTGTTACTTGGCCAGTGCGGAGTTCCCTGCACAGGTCACTCTGGGGTCCAGGGGCTTCCAGTGCAAAACTAGTAACCGCTGCCCTGCCTGCCTCCTGAGGCGCCCATTAGCTGATGCCTGCAAAGTGCTTCGACAGCAGGAAGGCTCTCGGGGCAAAGGTGAGTGCTGGGCCCACCGGTGCCACCTGGGAGTGTGGGCAACACGTGGGGGCCCGGAGCTGTTTAGTTTGTGGGTCATAGAGGGAGCCATTTGCATGCTGCTCCTGGTGATAGTCCGCGTCATGGGGATGCCTGCCTCGAAGCACTCTGACTGCGGCTGGGGGGGCGGTGGTTTGTGCGAAGCCCCTACAGCACGGGCCCAATCTGGGAGGTGGCCTTTGAGTCAGAGCCCGGAGCAGCATGACTTCCAGGGAGCCTTCCTCCAGGTGAGCCGGGAGTCCTTAGACCCTCCGACTGGTGTGTGCCCTCTGCCAACAATGGAAGCAGCAAGGAGCATTTTCCAGTTTGCAGCCAGCCGGGGAGCCAGAGAGGAGGACGCTTTCCCAACCAGGCCAGGGGCAGGGAGGACAACTGCGAGGCGCTGTCTTCTGGGTTTCAGAGCCCCAGCTGTAACAAGCTGAGGAGGGCAAGGAGGGGATCAAGAGTCATGACAGACAGCCCCAAACACCAGGATGTGGCTGGTGGTTTGTCAGCCCTTGGATGTCACCAGTCACCTCGACTTCTTTGAGTGCAGCAGCTACTCGGTAAACACTGTGAAAGGAAAGAGCCGTGGCAGGAAGCCTGGAGACCTGGGGTCAAGTCCCAGCTCGGCCTCCTTCCAGGTCGTCCTTCATGTCTCACATCCCCAGAGAGCCTTTCCTGATCCCCCGTCTGAAGCAGCCACCGCCTGGCCCAGTCACAGCGTCTATTCTACTTGCTTCACAGCACTTACCGCCATCTGAACTCCTGTCTGCCCATTGCACCGCACTGTGCGCATCTGCGGAGAGGCCCTCCCTCTCCTGTTACCTGCTGCCTCACCAGCAGCCAGCACACAGTAGGTACTTGAGAAATGTTGGGTTAGCAAGTGAGGGAATAACTTAGTTATGGGGGAATGGCTGCATGGTTTTCAAATTGTGCTCCTAGGAGCTTCTGAGGAAGGAGCAAGCCCTATAGGCCCAGCCCTGGGGGCACCAACTGCTCAGGGTTCATCTGCATTGTGGGCTGGCTTCCAGGGAGGATTTCCTTTGACAAAAGCGTCTTCCCACTATAAACTAGAAAACCACTCTTAGGGGCCTTTTCAATGCCAAGTTGGAATAATAGTAATGCACACTGGGCCCTCAAGGAGGACCAAAGGCTGCCATTCAGACTGGACATGGTAATCCCAGACCATTTCGGCTCAGTCACTGAATTCATCGTATGGGTGTTTTTTTAACTGGTGGAATTTCCTGGATTTTTTGTCAAGGTTAATGCGAAAATTGCTTTGCACACAATAGAGCAATGTGGGAAACTCTGGGGCTTGTGTGAGACAAGCACTAGACTGAGAGGACAACTGAATATCCACAAAGGGACTAAGCCACACGCTGATGGCCTGGAGCTGCCTATGCAGGGTGATGTCTGTCATCGCCCTCCCTTGGGTGTGTTCCCAGGCACACTGCCCAGATGTGCCTCCTGCCCAGGAGGTATCCACTCACTCGGCATCGTTTTTCTGGAGTAGTTGGCAGTGGAGAGGAGCCCTCCACTCTGAGCGATTTCTGAGGGCAGCAGCGCAGTGGCTCGCCCTGACCCACATTTCCAGCAGCCACGTCAGCTCCTTGGGAAACATCTGTCATGTGTCTTGTCCTATAAATACATTTACAGATGGCGGTACGGCTCCTGTGCCCAGCACTGTACCCGGGTTTGGGGCACAATATGCATTTACCACCACCTTTACTAAACCTATGGGAGTTACTATATCCTATAATATAGAGTTATATGGCATAGCACATTATTTATTAGTTGCATAATGTCTACATATATTAGCAGTATGCCCACGGGCAGAGAAGGAGGTCTGGCTGTCTCACTGGGTTGTGTAGGTGGTTGAAGAGAAGGGCAGAGAAGAGACGGGTACAGATCAGAATCTCGTTCACTCCTTTGGACACTGACTCTCCTGCTTGTACATGTCCCCGCTGTGGCTGACGTTTATACTTACAAGACAGCACACCACTGAGCAGACCTGGGCAGGGTGTTAATCTGCATGGAGTTACCACTTGCCTGCTTAGAGCCTAACTATATGCATATATATATATATATATATATATATATATATATATATATATATGATTTTTTTACAGAGAGGAAGGAAGAGGGATAGAGAGTTAGAAACATCAATGAAAGAGAAACATCGATCACTTGCCTCCTGCACACCCCCTATTGGGGATGTGCCTGCAACCAAGGTACATGCCCTTTTGACCAGAATCAAACCCAGGACCTTTCAGTCCACAGGCCGACGCTCTATCCACTGAGCCAAACCGGTTTCGGCAAGAGCCTGACTCTTCAGGCCTCAGAAATACATAAGGACCTGGTTCCTAACCTCGAGCACCTATTGTTGAAAAATTAAACTCACTCCCAGGAAGAGATGGGAACACAGTTGGCGCTCAGAGACGGCGAAGAAAACAAGCGCCAGTCCAGGGCAGACAGCCCAGCCTGGAGCCCGCCGCTGCCCCTTCCTCCCGCGTGACCTCACTGAGCCCCAGTTCCTCATCCTGTAAACAGAGGAACTGATCCGTGACTCCTAGCCTGCTGTACAGAAGCCTGAGTCAGGCCTAGAAAGCGCAATGCAGTGGAGGGCAGGGAGCATCGAAGCGTCTGATGACGACAGTGGACAGTTGGGAAAAGGGCTCATGGTGGGGAGGGGCCTTGCCCATGGTAATCACCGTGCCCTTGTGTCTAAACACAGGTCTCCCCGGGCGGTGTCAGGGGTGCATGGTCTCCTGCTGGCTATGCCTCCAAGCCAGCCAGGCACCCCTTTTCTTTTTGGGGTGCCTTTCCAGTGCACAGCTTATGGGAGGAATGCATCTGTATCTGAACAGCTTCTCCCTCCTGTGTTCACTGTCCCTGAATGTGCATTTAGCCCTCCTTCAAGGCTCAGGGAGCTTTACTGTAAAGGCCGTGGACTTGGGAATTGAGGCAGTTTCAGGGGTTCAGGAAATGGCGAGGGAAATGGCTCTGCTGGCGCCCGGTCTGTTTTGAAGTAGTTCCCTGCTCCTCTTTAATGGTAGAAGGAGTAATCAGCAGTGGCTCTTGGCTTGTCCTGACTTAGGCATTCTTCTTTATTTTTTAACACTGACCTCATGTTTTGGAAACATTTTTGTCAGCCAAACTTTAATGTAAATGAAAAGTTGCTTCTCCGGCTGAAAAAAAATTCATCAAGATCATGTCACTGATAGTGAAGTCACTGCTTGCTGTCTGCTTTCTGCTTTCTGTCACTTACTGTATTAACTGGGATTCTGTGCTCCTGGGGCATCCTGAATGCAAATAAAGGAGGCAGCACAGAACAGGGCACACACACTGCGCCTCTCCCTCTCTCGTGCCCAACCCCACCGAGATGCCCTCTACAGGGCATTAACAGACCAAGGCCCTTCAGAAGGCAGCCACCACTTTCTGATCACACTGAGCAGATACTAAGGGCTTTTAATTCCTCAGTTTCAAGCAAATATTAGGAAACAAGTACGGCAAGTCCTCGGTAGGTTCCGAGACTGTAGGCGAAACAACTCGTAGTTTGACCGCCGGCTAATTGTTATAAACGGGAGGGATGTTCCTATGGCGTCTCATCAACTTCATAACGAACACTGAGGGAAACGCTTGTTTGAGGGCCTGCTGTTCCAGTCCCAGGGGCTCGGAAAGGGGGCGAGAGGAAGGCCCTGGTCGTTTTTTAATGTCGGAAGGAAAACTGTTAGAAAAAGCCACAAAGACTTTAATTCCTCT